TTTCAAACGCATTCTGAGGGGTATTTTAATAGTTTGATTTCCTAAAACACTCAAGAATTGCTTGAATCTTTGAGCTCATTCTTCCTCCTCCTCCTCCTTCTTTTCTTTCTCTCTCTCTCTCCCCCTCCCTCCCTCCCTCCCTCCCTCTCTCTCTCTCTCTCTCTTTCTCCCTCCCTCCCTCCCTCTCTCTCTCTCTCTCTTTCTTTCTTTCTTTCTGTACTGGACATTGAACTCAATGCCCCACTACTGACAGGAGCTGTGTGTGAGAAGTGCTGTAGCCCCAGCCCTTTTGATCTTTATTTTGACACAGGGTTTTGCTGAATTGCTGAGGCTGGCCTGGAACTTGCGATCCTCCTGCTCCTTGGGCTGCTAGGGTGACAGCATGCCCAGTGCCTGGCATGGTGTCTCAGATAGCTCTAAGGATGACCGTGGCAGTAACAGTGCATGTGGATGAGGCAGACAGCAGCTCAGGAGGCAAGGCCTGTGTGGCACTGAGCTGGTGTCCTATGCGCTAGACTTCCCTGCAAGTATGAAAGAAAACAATTTCTAAACAAAGCCTTTGCGTTACCTGAGAACCAAAGCACTGATTTCTCACAGTGCTTGTCTCAGTAGTCGATGCTCATGCTGTGATCGGAAGCCCAACCGCTTTCCTCTCATGATGCCACGTCACCATGGAGACTGACTTGAAGAGTCCCATGGTTGCCTTGGGTAATGCCTGAAAGTGCTCGTCTCGCAGTCAATGCTCTTCTCTGCGGTTTCTGCTTTGTCTCAAGTCTTTAAGGTGAGCCCTTGGACAGGGTGTGTCCTGCCCACTGCTCCTGTCCTCCTTTTACCCAGCTCCTCTCCGTGTGGTTCCTCAAGGGCAGCGGGAGCTCAGGAGACGGGCACGAGCCCCACCTAGCGACTTCACTCACGACCACACCAGGTAGAAACAGCCACGTGTTTGTCCACAGGTGTGTCCCATCTGGGCACACTTCTAGAAACTGCAGGTGACCTCGAGTGTCCTGGGGGACACAGGGAGGGGCGTGTGGAGTCGCAGGGCCCGCGAGGGCAGAGCCCTGGGGGTTGTGGGCGTGTCCACTGGCTGGACCTCAGTGCTGGTTGCAGCAGGCCCGAGACACAGGCCTAGACCATGTGGCCCATGGAACTGTTCAGATGGCCCTGTCTTGTCCTCAAAAGCGCGTTTTTAAAACTGTCCCCGGAGTTTCTTCATTTGTTGGGATTATGAAATTGTAGAGTCATGGGTCTCTGTTTTGTTCCAACTATATGCTTTACAGACTAGACAGATTCTAGCAGGGCCAGATATGTGCTACGGATCAGTAAGTATTTAACTAAAGAGTAAGTTGTTTGAGATTTAATCCTTTGCTTAGTGATAGTCTTATGTGTTTATAGTAATTTACAATCTTAGATTAAAATGAGATGAAAGATGCCTCTTCTACTTTACCCAGAAGGGACATGGCTGAATTCATCTGACAGCCTGACTCTGGGCGTGTGGGTGGCCATACCTGCTCCATGCCTGTAAGGGACCTCAGGCCACCACCAGCTGTGGACGTCCTGGTCATTGATGAAGTCCTCCGACAAGCTTTCTTTCACTTAATTGAATTTTATGAACTGTGCCATTTTCTACAAGGGTGATTGAGGCATTATGTTAATATTTGTAGTGTTTTGGTAGTTTAGTATCATTTGTGGCTTTTCTTCTATAAAAAACAATATACCAGAGATTGCAGAAACTTGATCGCTCATTGACTTTGGGGTTGATTTCATCACCATCCAGTATTATTCTGCCACACAGAAGTGCTCTTGTGTGCAGTGCCGGGGATGGAGCCGGCCTGCACGTGCTGGGCCAGCCCTCAGCTGCCCAGCCACCCCCGCCCTGTCCCCTTACATGTAGTGGTGGATGTCAATTCCACTTCAGAACCCTCCAACTGTTGGTAAATTAGCTACTGATGTAGCTACTATAAAATGTAAACTAGGTTCTAGCCTTTTGGTCCTGCGTTTGTGACGAGCATCTCTGTTTAGCTGTAGCCATCACTGTGAGAAGGTGGTGGTGTGGTGGGATGTGAGATGTCCTGCACAATGCAGAGAGTCAATGCAGGAAGGTTCAGAGGAGAAACAGTTGGGTTACAAGAGTCTTAACCTGATCATGGCTGAATCCCCTGATGGGATGAACTGAGTGGTAACCAAAGGTGGCTAGGGCGTGGCTGGAGGTGGTGGGTGTTGGGGGCGTGGCTGGAGGAGGTGGGCATTGGGGGCGTGGCTGGAGGTGGTGGGTGTTGGGGGCGTGGCTGGAGGAGGTGGGCGTTGGGGGCGTGGCCTTGGGACTTATATTTTGCATCTGGCTAATAGAGTGTATCTCTGCTTCCTGATCATCATGTGAACCGCTTCCCTCACCACACTCCTCCAACAAGACCTTCTGCCTCACTTGAGGAACAGAGCTGGCTGTCTATGGACTGAGATCTCCAAACCGTGAGCCTCTAAATAAACTTCTCCTCCTCTGCAGCTGTTCTAGTTAGGTATTTATTCACAGCAGTGAAAAAGCTGACTAAGACAGATCTGAAAACTGCCCAATGTTTCAGGTGAAGCAGGGAATATTTGCCATGGTGTGTAAATAGAGCTGGACCAACAGGGTGGACTCTCAGGGTTCAGAGTCAGCGAGAGGGTGTGGGGCTATCTCCTGGAGTCCTGTCCCCTGATGTCTGACAGACGGCTGCTCTAGCAGCCTTGGGAAGTGTGATAATTAGCTTTTCATCACTGCAACAAAATACCTGAGCAAAATGACTTAGAAGGAAGAAAGAGCCGAACATGGTGATGCACACCTGTCATCCTAGCAGCTTGGGAGGCTGAGGCAGGAGGATCACAACTTTGAGGCCAGTCTCAGCAATTTAGTGAGGCTCTAATCAACTTAGTGAGACTGTCTCAAAATAAAAAGTAAAAAAATAGCTGTGGATGAGTCTCAGTGGCAAAGCACCCCTGGGTTTAGTTCCCAACAGTTCCCTACCAAAAATGAAGACTTACTTTATTTATTGTTTAGAGGTAAAAGTGTGTGGTTGCTTGGCCCTGTTGTCCTGGGCCCCTGTCAAGGCAGAACATCAGGACAACAGGTTTGTGGTGGGGCATCTGCTTACCTCGTGGTGACCTGAAAGCAGGCAGTCTTCAAGGCCACGTCTCCAACTACCTATTTCCCCCAACTAGGCCCCGTCCCCCTGAGATTCCACAACTTCCTAAGAGTCCCACAGGTAGTGGACCCTTTGTGAATCCTCATAATGCATTTTGAGGTCAGGGACATTATGGTCCAGTCACCTGCCCACGGCCCACCTCTTAACACGGCTGCATTGGGTTGCAAGCCTTCAAGCTTTTGGGGTGTTTGTGATGCAAACCATGACCTCCTGTCCCCAGCCCCCATCATCTGGTGTCCATCGCACAGTGTGAGCCCCGTTTGGTCCGTCTCATGGCTCCCATAGTCAACAGGCTCCACGTGGCTCTAACAGCAAGTCCAAGTTTCCCCTCTGACCCCAGGCGGGCTCTTTGATGTGAGCCACTGGGGAAATCAGAAAATGAATCGGACACTCCCAGATACAGTGCAGGAGACCAGGAAAACAGTGAGGAGGAGCTGGGCCAAGAGAGGCCAGAACCCACCCTAGTGGGCGCCAGTTCCCTGCTGGGTTCTGGTTCTGGTCATGTCTGGCCTCCGAGACACAGTGGCATGATATGAGCCCCACAGGACCAAACCTTTAGCATCTGAGCTGTCGGGGCCCTTTAAGGTCCAAACCACCATGGGGGCATGTGGACATTGCTTGGGATGTGGGTTCAGTGCAGGCCTAGGGTCAGAGGGTCCTCAATTCAGAGCCATTCTCCTCCTCCTCCTCCCCTCTATGCCACAGTGGACGTGAACCCACGTCTCTAGGACCCAGAGTCCCAGGGGGAGCAGATGACCTCGGTCAGCCAATGAGTGCGTTTCACACGCTCACTCTGCAACTGATCCGAGGGTGGCATGTGACCAAGTCAGCTGACCCATGCCATAATAGGCAAAGAACTGTGGACAGCGAGGCACTCTCTCCCCTGCAGTCCCTCTGCCAGTCCAGGGCCCCTCATGGAGGAACCGCTCTGTGCAGGACACTATCAGGGAACCTCGGAGCCTGAGGAGTGACATCCTGTGATCCCCTGGGTCAAGCCAGACCTGATGCTGACTAGACTTGAGTGGGGTAGGATGCTCCCATTCACGATGAGGTAGCATTTCCTCAGAGGGGCTGCCGGCTGCCATTGATGCCCTTTGTCAAAGGAGTTCTGACGTCCCAGATACACCCATCTTTGGGCTGTGCTGGGCCTGTGCTCCCCCTGGGCATGCCGTCCATGTCTAGGCCGCGGAGACGTCTGTAGGACAAGCCAGCGAGGTGGCGCTCTCCTGTTGGAGTATCTCCACTGTGACGAAGCTGTTCGGCTTTAGGCAGGCGTGAACACGCCTCCTTCTCTCTGCACCCCAGGAAGGGCACCTGCTGGCCCTAGGGTTCTTGGCTGGCAGGATCGGCCTTCATCCCTGGAAGGTGACCCACCCTCTCTCTCTCCTGTGGGGTGCAGGCAGGGTTCTGGCGAGTGACCTGATAGGACCTTGTGGGGCGCCTGCCCTGCCCCCCACACCCCACCAAGGTCGGGTACGTGGCCCTGGAGCTCAGGGGTTGGAGCGTCTTGCACCGGCGTCCTGGAGTGAGGGGACTGCTACCACGCTCTGGACACCAGTCTGTCTGAGTTGGAGGAGACGGGCGCTGAATGGCTCCAGAGGACTTGGGGTGGCGTCTTCACGGGGCAAAAGCCACGACAGAGTTGTGTACTGGCGAAGCACGGGCCCCGGGACCTGGTCCAGCTCCTCCTTTCTCAGCAAGGAGAGGTCGGGGTCCCGAACACACGGGAGCACCCAGGTTCCACAGACCCTCCTTGTTCTGACCAGGAAGGTGGCCAAGGTCCCGGAGGCCCGAGTGGGAGATGCCACCGTGGGCCACCCCCCGGGTGTGAGTGGGCCACTCCTGGCTGTGACCTCACAGGGGCCAGCATTGTGAGGCCCTTGAGCCAGCGGGGATATAAGGCCGGGACGAGGCTGGGACCTTGTCCACAAGCACAGGAAGCTCTAGGCAGTGACCTGTGGGACTCCCATAGTTAGCGCGTTTGGTGGTTGGTGGTTTGGTGGTTCTGGTTGCGGTCTCAGGTTGGTTCTTTGATTTGGGGCTTTCTGTTGGGTTTTGTTGTGTTAGTTTTGCTTGTGTTCTTTGCTTTGTTTGTTGTGTTTGTTTTTAGCTAGCGGGCTTAGTGGGCGTGGGGCGGAGGATGTCCAGAGAGAGCAGTGAGCGTAGTGTGGTGCGGAGGGTGCGTCGGGACCTCGCGGCCAGCTCCTCCTTGGAGGAAGCCCTCACGGGCCGCTATGAGCCCCTGGGGGTCGTCGGGCAGGGCAGCTTTGCCAAGGTCTTCCTGGCCCGACACATCCTGACGGGGACGAAGGTGGCCGTGAAAGTCCTGCGGAAGGGGGCGGGGGCCACCTTGTCCTGGGTCTTGTCGGAGCTGGACATCCTGAAGGGCTTGGAGCACCCGCACGTGGTGCAGCTGCTGGAGATCGTGGAGACCCCCGGCACTGCCTACGTGGTGATGGAGCACATGGCTGGGGGCCAGCTGGGCCAGCACATCCCGGAGGTTGTGGGCCTGTGGGAGGACGAGGCCCGCATGCTGTTCGGGCAGGTGGCCAGCGCCGTGGGCTACTGCCACGCGCAGGGCATCGCGCACCGGGACGTGAAGGCGGAAAACGTGCTGCTGGATGCCGCGGGCCGCGCCAAGCTGTGCGACTTCGGCCTGGCCTGCAGGTTCAGGGCCGGAGAGAAGCTGGGCCTGCTCTGCGGCACCGTGGCCTACTGGGCCCCGGAGCTGCACCGGCGAGAGCCCTACGACGGCCCCGCGGTGGACGTCTGGAGCCTGGGTGTCCTCCTGATCCTCATGCTCACGGGCAGCGTCCCGTTCACCGGGGCCAGCTATGAGCAGGCCAAGGAGCAGGTGCTGCAGGCCAGGTACCACCTCCCGTTCCACCTGTCCGACGAGGCGCAAAGCCTGGTGTCCTGGATGCTGACCCTGGAGCCCGCGCACAGGCCCACGCTCCAGCAGATCCTGGGGCACCCGTGGCTGAGCCAGGATGGGGAACGCTGCCCGAGTCCTCCCGCCGAGCTGCTCCCCAAGCGCGCGGACACCTCCATCCTGCTGGCCATGCTGGACCTGGGCTACGGGCTGCAGGAGACCTGGGTGTCGGTGGCGACGCGCCAGTTCAACCAGGCCATGGCCACCTACCTCCTGCTGGGCCACCAGAAAACCCGGGGGGCGGGCTGCCAGGTGCGGCTGCAGATGCCTGGGTGGCCACAGGTGGGGCCTTGCCCGTCCCTGTCCATCCCCTCCAACTTGACTCTGGGCCCAAGGTGGGGCGTCAGCAGGCCGGCCATGCGCTCCTGGCCCCTCTCGGCCTGTGAGCAGCAGCAGCAGCAGCAGCAGCAGCAGCAGCAGCAGCAGCAGCCTGAGGAGCTCAAGCCTTCAGGGCAGGTGGGCAGCAGGAGAGCCAGCCTGCCCGCCATCATGCTGTGCAGCCTGTCGGCCAGCGTCCCTGCTCCCGGCCCCACGGCCCCTCTGCCCGGGTCCTCCCAGGCCCTGGCACCGGATCCCAGCTCCTCCTCCACCGCGCAACCCCCTGCTGGCTCCAGGACCCCTGGCCTGACCCGTGACACCGCCAGGGGATGGAGGGGAGTGGTCCGGAGGATGGCCACCTGTCTGGCGAGGCTGTGCTGCTGCGGGCAGGCCCCCAGGACCGGCTCCGGACGCTCCAACAGAGTGGCTCCCGCAGCTGGAGGGCCCGCGCCACCAGCACCAGCACCCAGGGACCCCCCGGGACCTGCCCCCACCAGAGGTCAGGCCCTCAGAAGATTCTTCAAAAACAGAGTGGCTCCCCGGCCAGCGCCCAGCTGAGATGCCCACGGAGCCAAGTAGGTGGAGCGGTGCTGCCTTGGGTCTCACGTGTGCCTTGATGAGTGTCATTTCCAAAGGATGAATGGACACCCTCTGCCCTTGGGGGGTGCCACCAGGGTTAGGTCCACCTGGGCACCACAGGGTGGGCGACTCGGACTCCTAGCCCCTCTCATTGTCCACAGACAGGTGGCCCGGGTTCTACCTCACGAGGGCCAGCTGCTGGAGCGAGAAGTGCAACCTGCCCTGGCCGCCGCCTCCCGGACCCCTCAGGCAGGAGGACACCCGAAGACACCCGGACACCAGTGGGCCCCTGCGCCCCACCCGGATCCCACCTCAGGGACTTCTCCTTGGACACGTGCCCCGCCCTGCTCTCCTCTGCTCTCTCTCCCACCCTCTGGGGCAGAGATGCTTCCCAATAAGCTCCTCATCCATTCGCGTGTCCCACGGATCTTGGAATAAATTGGGTGCTCCGTGGGGATCAGCTGTTGTGTTCCTTGGCCGCCTCCTGGCAACAGTGGGAGAGTGGGTGGTGGTGTCACAGTGGGGAAGGTGTAAGGGAGCAGTGACAGGAAGCCCTCCGGAGGTCCCCAAGGGCAACACGTGACCCAGAGTGTTCCCAAGGGAGGAGGCTGGGTGGGGGGCAGAAAGGCAGACCTTGTGCCTGACCTGACACTGATGGTGCCCGGTCACCACTTTCAGAAGGGAACCCTGGACAGAGGAGCCACAAGCCCAAGCCCATCCTGGGGGGACACCCAGAGTGGCACGAGGAGGCACCGTGTCGCAGGCCCCGGGGGCAATCAGGGTAGAGCTGTGGGTGCCTCCCCCAGAGTGGCTTGGAGGCTGCCGCTTGGTCCCTCCTCTGAATGTCCCTGCCAGGGGCTGGCTCTTGCCCTGGTGAAGCTTTAACCTCTCTAGGCCTTCGGCTGCGCGGGACCGTCCCTGGGAGCGTCCTGACCCAGGGATGGGCCCTTCAGCCTGCCACCCTGAGCTCCCCAGGGCTGCTGAGCAGGGAGCAGGACCACCTATGGGTGGGGGAGCTGGGGCGCAGGTGTGGGCAGGGGAGGGTGTGTGGCCAGAGCCCCCAGCCCCCAGGAGTGCAGGGCTGGCTGGGAGGAGCCGTTTTCCGGGTCTAGTGTTTGGAGTGAACCTTTCAATTCCCATCCCTTCAACTCGGGGTGTGGGCTCTGTCCCCCTTTCTTTGTGATCCCCGCGGGGTTTCCATTTGACGCGGGTCAGAGATCCCTGTCTTATGTGAATGGAGGGCAGCCTCACTTCCATCCTGTACTAGATGCAGACCCCCCCCTCCCCCTGGGTCTCTGATGTCACAGAGCCACCCGTGTGTTCCTGGTGGTTTGGTACCGCAGACCCTCCACTGAGTGTTTTCTTCTGAATTGGTCCCTTCCCCGTGGACAAGAAAAGTGAGGCCAGCTTTTGTACTTGCCAGGAACAGACCTTTCCAGAGACCCCTGTGTCTTCACCCATCTCTGAGTCCCTGCCTAAGGTCCTTCAGTCCACCACCAGGGACTCCTGTCCTGAAGGGCAGGTGCAGGGGAGACTGAGTCCCTTGCCTTTGGTTTCCCAGGGCCGTGGTTTGAGGAGTGTGTTTCTCCAAAAGTGCTGATGAAACTCCCCTCCCTTTGAGGGTGTGGTGTTGTGGTCCTTCAGGAGGGTGAGGCCCTGGGGCCCTGGCTTCCCAAGGGGATGTGCGCCTCAGGGCTGGACCTCCTCTGGCCAGCAACTAGGCCCTGGTTCTACCCTCTGCACCACACATGGTCGCGCTTGGTCTCAGGTGTGCTCATGCACACACACAGACACACACACCCAGAGAAACACACAGAGACAGACACAGACATGTCACGGTGGGCAAGGTGGTGACTGCTTTTCTACTTGTGGGTTGGGGAGGCCGAGCAGGGGCATTGGCACTAAGCCATGGTCCTTCCCACAAGTCCTCCAAGTGGTGATCTGCTGTGACATCTCTTTGGGACCAAATTTATCTAAATGTGCCAATCTTCCATTTTCCTAATAAACAATTACCCTGACAACCTGCTCTTCGTGCTCTGTAGAAGCCTCTTAAGATCTGACTTCTTACGGTCCCCCACAAATATTTTGAGGTCACACCTATGAATTTCTCCCAGGACTTGAGGCGCCACTGGCCCTTTTGAGGCCCAGACTCTCACCGTCGTTGTTCCTGTGTGCACCTGTGACTTGATGAAGGTCCTCGTCGGTCAGGTGCTCCAGACGTCGCAGACACGTGGAACCCAGCAGAATGCCCTGGGCTCCTATGGAGCTTCCGCTGGCCCTTGCTGCTGCTTTGGGTTGAAATGTCTGTTTCAATTGTATATTCCATCTTTAGAACTTGAAAATCACTCTCCTTGTGAGAGAAAGAATGAGTTCTATTGTCTGTTAGCGGATTTCTCTCGTCCCTAAGCAATAGATCGCCCCTTTCCTGTCCTTCTTCCCTCGTCACTCCAGATGTGGTGGAAAAGTACTTTATGTCGTCCTAAGTGTGCCTCACAAGCCACAGCTCATTTTGAATGTAGCACTTTTGACACGGATTTAAAATGCACTTTACATATGGTCGTGTATGTTTTTTAACTTTACAGAATATTGTATGTGTTTTTCCATTTAATTAAATAAATTCTGAGAGCATATTTAATGTCTGTTTAATAGCACATCTTACTTAACCATCTCCTGTTTGGGGCTGTTTGGTTTGAATCCAGATTTTTTTGCTTATTCTGCAATTTTAAATAAGGCTCCTGTGGACATCTTGGCACATCACGCTTTGCCGACTTTCTGATTATCTCCTTATGCTGTGCTCCAGCCTCCAAGCACTCCGTTTCTCCTTCCCAGACACTAAACTGGCTGGCTGTTTTTCCAACCCATGTCCACAGAATGCATTTTGTACACAATGATCTCTAGAACTTCTTTGACTCACTAGCTGGAGTGTGGCCATCTGAGTCTTGAGATCTTCCACAACCCCTCCAAGTGACACCCTAGCAACACTTAGCATGCCTGTAGGGACAGGGGACAGAAGGAAAGGGAAGCCACCTGCATGGTGACGATGGCAGGAGGGTGAGCTTTCACATGCATCACTCTGTGTGTGCGCATGACTGTGCATACCCATGTGAGCCTGTGTGTGCAAACCAGTGCTGTGAATGACTATGTGTGCATGCCTGGCATGTATTCTTGTGTGTCAGGCCTGCATATGCATGCCTTTATGTGTGTACGACTGCATGCATTTCTGCATGCCATGTAACTGTGTGTGCATGCCTCTGTGTGTGTTTTACTGTGTGAGCATGCCTGTGTGTGTGCATGCCTCTGTGTGTGTCACTGTGTGAGCATGCCTGTGTGTGTGCATGCCTCTGTGTGTGTCACTGTGTGAGCATGCCTGTGTGTGTATGCCTCTGTGTGTGTGTGTGACTGTGTGTGCATGCCTGTGTGTGTGACTGTGTGAGCATGCCTGTGTGTGTGCATGCCTCTGTGTGTCACTGTGTGACCATGCCTGTGTGTGTGACTGTGTGTGCATGCCTCTGTGTGTGTGTGACTGTGTGTGCATGCCTCTGTGTGTGCATGCCTCTGTGTGTGTGTGTCACTGTGTGAGCATGCCTGTGTGTGTATGCCTCTGTGTGTGTGACTGTGTGTGCATGCCTCTGTGTGTGTGTGACTGTGTGAGAATGCCTGTGTGTGTGTGTCACTATGTGAGCATCCTGTGTGTGTGCATGCCTCTGTGTGTAGGTTCCTGTGGGATTGCATGCCTGTCTGTGTGCCTGCCTGTGCATACCTGTGTGCCCACATGCCTATTGGCATGCCTAAGTGCATGCATGCCTGTCTGTGTCTGTCCCTCTGTTTGCTCATGCATGTGTGTGCACGCCTGTGTGCATGTGTCTGTGTGTGTACCCCTGTGTGTGTGCATGTGCAGCAGGGGTGGGGGCTGCAGAAGGGAGCTTCTTTATGATTCCTCGTGGACTGTGAAGACTCAGTACACAGGCTTCTTAGTCAGCCACTTGATATTAGCTCAAAAAAACTGCAGCCCAAAACCAAAAATCTTAGCCCACTATATTGAGATATTTTTCCTCATTTTTAGTCTTTTTAGTCTTGTAGCCTCTTTCTTTTCTACTGTAGTGTTTGAGGTAAGGGAGTGTGTACAGGTCCGTCTGTCCTTCTGGCTCCATCCTGTATTCAGACCTGCAGACCAGCACAGGGCTGACAGAAGGCCCTCTGTTCAAGAGGACACTTCCTCAAGCCACGCATGGGGCTGTTCATGGGGAATTATTTGTGACCCTTGGAAAATAAAGTGAAATCAAGCATTGAATTCTTTTCTTTTCCTCCTGATTCTGCTCAACTCCTGTGGAAGTGTTGCTTTTCATTGCTGTGAGGTTTCCAGCAGTCTGCCAGCCCCGTTGGCTTCCCATCGAGGCAGGATGTCACTTGTCTTATGACATCCGGTGGCTGCACGGAGGTGACCTGGAGCTGGTGCTCCTGGTGTCTTTTCTGTGGATGGCTCTGTCCCCAGGCTGTTGTCCCTGGAGCGCTGCGTTTGTTCTGGCTGGGAACCTCGTCTTACGTGGTCACGCTGTTCTAGGGTCTGTGAGCTAAGAAGGTTTTTCCTTTGGAAAATCTGAAGATCCCTTTAGGAGCCATTAGAAGTAAAGGACAAGACTATTCTCAGAAAAACAAATGTTTTACTGCATTTTCTTCAGTAATGAGGCTGTCCAGAGAAATAGCAAAGCAGTAAAAGTCACACATGTGGTGCCACGTGTCAACAAGAGATGACTGCCCATGCAGAAAATGTCCCCAGAGGCCCTGCTAGCCCACACGTGTGTGCAGTCGCCTGGGGGTTCTCCAGGGAGAGGGTCAAACACCCCGTCGCATGCAGGCTCCTGGGCTGTGTCTTTCCCCCTTGAATCCAAATAAACACAGCCTGGGCTGAAAAGGTAGAGACTCAGCTCAGCTGGCGGCAGAGCCGGTCTCGGATGCTGACGAGGCCACCTGGCTGCACCCATCCTCACCTCGAGGTGGACTTAATGTCAGGCGGGCCGGCAGCTGGGCCCCTGGAGACGCTGCAGCCTGTGCTCACATGGTGCGGGTGGGACCACGTGATTCTCAGGTCTAGACCGACTCCTGGTGAAGTGCCACACCACTGCCACAGCCTGCCACCTGGGGCTCCTCTGGAGAGCCACACACAGGCCTGCCACGGGAGGACTGGTGACAGTGAGCCAGGGCACACACTGCCTGGCACAGCTTTGCTCCTGCTGCAGGACTGGCACAGCCATGCCGTGGCTGGGGGCGCAGAGCGTGGCCTTCCTGCTGACTCACAGGAACGGAAGGGACCGACTTCAGGGGTGGCACGATGTCACGTTGCATCCCAAGGCATTTTGCCAGATTTAATTATAGCAGAACCCTCTGGGAGCGAGCACTGGCGTTTATAAAAGCACAGTGGGTAAAGTGGACTTCAGGTTCCACGTTAAGGAAC